CCCCCCCGCGGCCGGGCGACGCGCCGAGTACTGAGTCAGAGGAGGCCCTGCGGCACCCTCCCTGGTAAAGATGGTCGAGGGTAATGTGATGACGCCCAGCATGATATGATGATTGTGGTGGAGTCAAAAAATGGTGGCCTTTATCATCGTCGCCTGTTTCGCCATGATGACCCCTCGCTCTCTGCGTCGCCGACCCTTAACCCGGAAGAAATGAGGAAAGTCGTTGAAGGGAAGACTTATGAGCACGCCGTCGTTCAGCCTCATTTCCCCCGTGTCCGTCCACAGAGCGGCGCACCACCAGAGGAGCCATGCTGTGTGCCGTCCTCTGTCCCGGCGAGCGGTCTGCTCTGCGAAAGAGAAGGTGACATGGTCCTCTGGGGATGCTGCCGAGGGGGAGGGGGACAGACACAGCCACACACACACACACACACACACAAACACGCGCGCGCGCGCAGGATGCCAACAGCAGCAGCCGCAGGGCCGCCAGCCCGCGGGGCCGCACCCCGCCGTCAGTCCGCTCGCTCCCGCCGCGCGTCGCGCTCCCCGCTGCACTCGCACGCGTAGGCGCAGTAGGCGTCGCCTCCCCCGGCAGCCCCGGACACGCCTCATCGCCGTGAGCCCTCCCGCGCGTCGCGCTCCCCGCTGCACTCGCACGCGTAGGCGCAGTAGGTGTCGCCTCCCCCAGCAGCCGCAGATACGCCTCATCGCCGTGGGCCCGCCGAGCGCAGCGCAGCGCGCCGCCCGCAGTGCGGCCATGTGACGGCGCCCCGACGGTGTCGGCGGCGACCCCTTCGACTTGTGACCACGTGTGACGGTGTGACTGTGGCGACGTGCTCTTGATCGCACTGTCGTCACGCCGGCTGTGAGTGACCGCGCGAGTGCGGACCGCGAGTGACGAACTTTGAAGATGGCGCAGCCACCGGCGTCCATCCTGAAGCAGAGCTCAGACTACGGGCACCAGACCCGCACGCCCCCCAGCGACGAGCCGCCCCCGAACCTGCCCCCGAGGAAGCAGTCCCGGCCCCGCCTCCAGCTGCCCGCCCTCAAGATGCCCGCCCGCAACCCGCAGCACCCGCAGCTCCCGGTGCCGCTGACGGCGGGGACGGTCCCGGGGACGGCGGGCGTGACCTGGGGGCCGGCGCACCACGGCTACCCGGGCTACCCGGGCTACCCCGGCGCGCACGCGGCGCACGCCTACCCCAGCATGACCCCCATGCCCATGACGCCCGTCTCGGGGCTCATGGGCGGCGCGGCGGGCGTGCCCATCGGCATGGCGGGCGCGCTGGGCAGGTTCAACGTGTACCCCACCAAGGCCAGCGAGTTCATGTTCAAGCAGTTTGCCGGTAAGCACCATAGGGCCGGGCCTCCTACTCCACACGCCCCAGATTCCCAGCAAGCGAGAGCGAGGGACCAACAACGGAAAGACAACCGAGGAGTATAGATGGGGAAACGTGAGGAGGAAACCGTTTGTGTGGCAGTGGAGCACCTGCCGCCGGCCTGCCGCGCCGCGCGTGTCTGCGCCTAAGTACAGTAGGCGCAGGGGCGGCACGGACGAGTGAAAGTTTATTTACTGAGAACACTCTGAACTAGGCTGGATGGTAGTTTACAGAAATGTGCAGCAGGCCCGCTTACACATAGGACACCGAAGAAACTGGACAACAGTTTCAGTCCGAGCGGCATTTAGAACGTACCTAAGATCATGAAAACGGATTATGATGAACCCCGAGGCACTCGCGCACTCAGAGCTATTAGAGCAGCCCGACGGACAACACCTGAGTAAAGTAGGGCCCGGCCGGCCGGCCCCGCGCCTAACGCCGAGCAGCACGGCGACGGCGAGCGGTTGTTTATGTAGGTGATGGAGCGGGATTCCACTCTGCCCCGATCCTCTTCATTTTGATTGAAGATGGGCGCACTTCGCCACGAACCGCGGCCCCACCGTGCGCCAGCTAAAGGGGAGGATCAAAATGAAAATGAAAAGCGTAGCCGCGGCAATCTAACGTGTCGTGTTTCGATGTATCGCCTTGTCAACCGACCAGACCACTAACCCCACCACCTCCACCCCTCTTTCCAAAGAAAACGCCCCCTCACAAACACACACACGCACACAGCAAAACGATCAAGACAAGCGCGTAACGCGAAAAAATAAATAATATTCTCGGAACGGCAAAATTATTTCTGACACTACGGCGCTTGCTTACGAGGTGCGAGGAGGAGGATGATATTTCGCGGGGCAGAAAGGATCTGGCCGGGCGCCCAGGACCAGCGGCGCGCCGGGGACGCTAGGAGGAGGGGGGGGGAGGGGCGCAGGTGGGCGCGTAACAGAGCCGGACTCCCTCCCATTCTCTCAACAACAAACACTCGCTCACCTGAAGAGACGACTGGATGCATGCGGGGAGACAGAAGCAGGCTGGCGCCCAGAAATATCAACGATTTCATAAATGAAATCAAAATTAATTATATGGGAGTGAACTCAAACCCAGCCCTGAAAGTGAAAATGGTATGACACAAGTTAAACACCACTGCCACTGATCAAGAGTTTAATTTACGTTTCTTTTCATTTTAACTGTCCAAATGATTCTTTAACATGATTCGAGTCATGTGTTTACAACGCATGTTTAAACTGTCCAAATGGTTCTTTAAGAGTCGTCTTTGAAAATATTAGGGTGATTGTTTGCCACACAAATGTTGCACTGCAAAACGTCCCATTTCTCCCCAAAACTTGAGTATTGCATGTCTGCACATGTTTCTAAACGAGTCATGTGTCTACAACACGAAATTTCACACATTCAAGACAACGACATGCCCGGATGCACCCCCGCACGTTTTGCAGTTTGCAGTTTGTATTTGTGGCAAAGTTAGTTTTCGGTTAAGAAAAATTATAACCATACTAGTTGCCAGGAACATTCAATGTCGCCTCGCTTTCGGACACTGACTGTCCCCTCTTCTCCGTCCTCAGGCTTCAAGGACTTCACAATGAACACGGCCAAAATCGGGCTGAGCCATGGCGAGAAGACTGCGTTCTGGCTGCACGGCAAGGTGTCTAGCTGGAGCCGGCGCTGGTTCACCCACATCTTCCTCTTCCTCGTCGTGTTCGCCTACAGTCTGCTGGGCGCGCTCATCTTCGTGGCCGTGGAGGGCACCAACGAGGTAAGGGGGCGGGGCGGGT